ACAATATTTTTGTACGAAATAAACAGATATACACTCGAAACTGCAAACTAAAATTGACGCCCATGTCTGGAACAATAAATCAAAAAATTTCATAAAAATATTTTTTTATTTGCAAAAATTTAAATATACAAGGTCGTAATCTAGCCGTTCTATTTTTTTACTACTTCGAACTAGATGAGATTTTTATAATATATTTTTTTAGTACTTGCCAACATTGATAAAAGAAGTTATCAATGCTAATATTAACAAATCTTGCTGACGTTTCGCCAATCTCAGCGTAAGCGTAACTGAAACTGGCACACTTTCTACTCTGTACCTGCTTATATATATATATATATATATATATATATATATATATATATATATATATATATATATATATATATATATATATATATATATATATATATATATATATATATATATATATATATATTATTAAGGAGTTAAAGGAGGGACGTGAACATTGTCTCGAATGACTGATTCCCATATTGGTAATAGGTTAAGGCCTGAGTCGCGGTTAAGATTATTTGGTTGCTGATAGATTTCTATAGATTTTGGGATCTTTCGTAGTTAGAATAGATAGATAGATAGATAGATTTATTTAGCCATTTTTTACATAAAGTCTTTACAACAAATGGCACGTCAGTAGTACAAAAAAAAAGAAAGATTAACGCTGACAAATTGTGGTTGTGGATAAATAAATCGTACAAACAATAGAAAAATTCCATGCGTGAAAACAATATGACGAAATATACAATAGACATACACTACAAAAGTACAATACATAAATTATAAATTGTAAAAACGGTGGAATCTAAAATTTAAGAGAAATCATAAATATCGATTGGTAGATAATAAAACATATGTTGATCTAAAATTCGTATTTGGCCGAAACGGTGTATTCTGTAATTGAGTAAAAAGCAAGCTCCAGAAGAAACAGTCTAATTTCTCTGGAGAATTTATACTGTGATAAGTCTCTGATATGTTGAGGAAGAACATTGTACACGTCGGTGCGAGGCTTATTCCTTGCCGAGGTCGTCAGTCTGCAATAGTATGGTACGAGGAGGTCTGCCTGTCTGGTGTTGTGTGCATGTCTGTCAAAATATCTTTCAAAAGCATGTATATTTTCATGGACGTGGGTCAGTGCACGCTAAATGAACAGACTAGGAAGTGTAATTTTTAGTCTCTTGAAGATAGGACGACAATGTGCCAGAGGTGTTGATCCGTGAATTGTGCTTATAGCTTTCTTTTGCATTCGGAAAGCTTTGGCTGCATGGACAGACCCGCCCCAGTTTAGGACTGCGTACGACAGTAAAGAATGAAATAAGCCAAAATAAGCTATCCTCAGCATGATCGTTGGGCAAAGGATTTAAGATGCCTCAGCAGGTAAAGTCTAGTGGACAATCTGTTACAAAGGAGTTCGATATGTGATTCCCCTGTCAACGATCTATCCAGTGTAACGCCCAGATTCAGATGGCTGACTCTACTGCCTGAGAAGGACATACGCTGAGTTTTGCTGTGAACAACATTGCAGCAGTTGAACCAGGTTTCCGTGACTTTCCCCGCCCGGACACACCGCCAGAGGAATGGGATTCTTTTCCCTTATAAGGAGGGCAGTATCCTCTGCGTAGAGCGTAACATGATGGGGGATGTTCAAGGGGAGATCATTAATGTATATAACGAAAAGTAGGGGCCTAGGCTAGAGCCTTGCGGAACACCACACCTGACGGGAAGTTGGTCGCTCCTAGTTCCGTTGATTTCGGAAAACTGAAATCTATTGTTGAGGTAAGACTTGACACCATACCACTCCAACTTCCGATACAATACATTGTGATCAATATAGTCAACTACTGAAGGCTGTTCACATAGCTTTCACCAATTAAAACTTCCTAAAAATCACTGAACTGACTAGATATGGCACGCAGTTATTAAAATAGGTTATAAGGGGACGGACATAACGCATAACGGAGAATAATTGACTACATGCAAAAATTTTTATTTTATCGAATAAGATTTGATGTCCGGTTTCGTGATTGTGTTCGGCGACTCCTGATGAGGAGTTTATTTGTCTATTTGTCGTAATCTTGAGTCTCTTTCGTGATCTGTGAGCCTAGTTGATGTTTTTTGTCCGATCTCTCCAATGTATTCTTTCCCTCATATGCATGGAATGCGGTAAACTCCTGATATTTGAAATGAAATTTTGTCTTTGACCAATCGAAGATGTTGGGAAATTTTTGAACAAGTGGTAAATCTGGTTCTGACGTTATATTCACTATAATATATTTCTTAAATTATTCCCGTATAGAAAGAGACCAAATTAACAAGACTCTTCTGTGTGTACATTTTAAAATTGCTTCCATCTTGTCCTTTTCCGGGTTCGACACCCTTTCAAATATGATTCATGACAAAGCTGAAAATCTTCGTTTATCTTCTACCCATCACTTCAAAATTTGAAGAACTAACCTTAACTCTAGGGAAAGCATCAAACACTGTGGTAAATGTATCATCGCACCAACTTTCTCAGACGGAAAGGTTCCAAGTTCGTCCTTGTCCCACGGATTATTCCAAAAGAGAAAGTCATTTCAAAAGTCGAAATGTCGAAACCACGAAAACCCTTAAAAAATCCAAACCCCCTAAATCTAATATTCCGGAGACACAAGTAGAAAAAGTAAATGCTGCGTTCGTCATTAACATAAGTCAATGTCAAATATCAGGTAATCCTTTCAGACGGATGTCATCTATGGAACCTTCCAACCTTCCAAAGACAATGAGTCCGAAAGCAACCTCACACTTGCCGCTGTTGTCCTAAATGTGTTATTAAGGCTATAAGGCTATAAGCACTCTAAAATTCCTGGTCTCTGTGGACTTTCTAAGATTCACAAACCCATGGTTCTCTAGCAAAATATCTAGCTTCTATATTAAAATCCTTTACAGGGAAAACTGATAGTTTGGTACTTAATTACTTTCATTTCAGTGAATAAACCATTACTTTAGATCCACAACCTTATTTCAAATATATTAAAATCCGAGGATATGGAACCAAACCTTCTCATTTTAATTGAAAAATGCTTGCCTAGTAAAAATGTGTTTCTTAAAACGGTCAAATTTTTAAACAAACGTCGGGAACAGCTATGGCTTCTCCATTATCACCAGTCATTACGAATATATTTATGGAACCCTTTGAGACACCATCTATCTGTAACCCAAATTATATAAAGGCTACATTGATGATACTTTTATTTGGCCTCATGGTCACAAATTCCTCCGAGATTTTCGTAGCCATTTAAATTGTTTACACCCTAACAAACATTTTACCATTGAATTAGAAACTAATAGTAATCTCCCATTCTTCGATATTCTTATCAATGGAAAATCAGAGCTAACATTGGGTCATTCTGTTAACAGAAAACCTATCCACACAGATCGATACCTTAATGCATTTTCACATCACCATCCCTCGTAAAAATCAATGTTATCAACTCTCATGTTTACAGAGCCATAAAACTATTTCAATCCGAGTCACGGAATCCACAATTAAAACACTTTACATCTGCCCTTCTCGTTAATAATTTCCATATTAGAGATATTAAGCATTCTATAACAAAATACACTTCACCACAACCTTCCAAAGACAATGAGTCCGAAATCAACCTCAGACTTGCCGTTGTTGTCCTTCTTTACATTCAAAATATCACCGACCACATATCGAAAGAAATACAACTTCAAACTAGAGTTACCACTGCGACCCCATCTAACAACTAACCAAAACTAAACAACCGATGAATCCAGAAGTGCAAAACGTATAAAAGTTATATTTTTATAAATTGAACTGCTTTGCATATTGTAGCAATTTCGAGTGTGGCCAAAATTAGTGTGAGTTTCAACCTTAATGTTTAATAAATTATTTTAATTTTTCCAAATATAACCTAATTTTAATTTTTCGAATACTTACCGAACATTTCAATTATGTAAGCGAAATTTGTAGTAAAGATATATTTAAATCGAATCACAATTGTTAATATAACGCCATATTTAACTTATCAGGGAACATACTTTCTAATTACCCATTCAAAAAGTCATTTTGGATGAACTTGAATGATTTTCGTAATGTCGGCGTGTATTTTGAAAAACAACTTTTATTTAGAGTAAGACTGGTAGTAATGGGGATTGTTTTCTTAATCATACACGTTAATATTAATGACAGCTGTCTTTAATGGAAGATTGCTCATAAAAATTTAATAATTTAAAACAAAACTCTCAGATATCTCAAAAGTGAAAGTTTTTGAAGATGCTTATACGAATCACCATTTTTGTATTCCTTTATTCGCGTTATTTTGTGTTAAGTGCGAGAGGAAAAGTTTCTCATCAATCAAATGCCATATTGTCGAGACAGTTAAATTACTGCTGGATAAACAGTGCGTGCCTTTCCTTCTTGTTGATTTGTACTTTTCATAAATCCATCATTTAGGAGAGAAAGTCAACATTTTTATTGTAATACTACACTTTTTAAATTTCAAAATGAGATAAACCGATTTTATAATTTTTTTAATTTGCTTAGAACTATTCATTTTTGTTACCTTTTGGGCATTATAAACATCATTGAGCAGTTGGAAACCTCTAAACATGAAACATGAACGATCCAATCAGTCATTGATAAAGTGTTACATCCTATCAACTACCTTCGGCAATTGCAAATTCCAATTTTTCAGCAAGACCACTTACCGTATGATGATTGAAAATGGAAGCGAGATAACATATGTCAGTTTGAATAAGTACAAAGTGTTCGTCACGAAGGAAGATTATCCTAGTGATATATCGATCATCTGATTTGCAACATCTCAAAACTGTCAAACTCACTACTGAATTGAATTCCTTTCAATAAATTTTTTGTCCGAAATATAAGAAACTGGATATTGCGATTTTTATGCCACGCAGTACATATTTTTGTTGCTCACCAAAAATAAAACTACAAACCAGAAGTAACATGGTTCACTTACCTTGACTGAAAAACAATACGCTGGACGCAAACAATTGCAAATGGACGTGAAAAATCTTGAGAAGCATGCTAAGCGCTGTTAAGCAGTCGTTCGGTGTCTCGGGCCTCTCTGGCAAATGTCCTGTAAGAAATAATCCGACACTTAGAAGGCAAGTAAACACTTTTAATGGCTTCTAAATGGCCCGATAAAATTTCATTGGGACGTTTTTGCGGAATTTCTCGCATTAATCGCGGAAGCGCGCTTAGTGACGTAAAAATCTGTATTAAAACAATATATTCATTTCCCATGCCCCTAAAGACGCGAATCTTAATAAGATCTCATAACTAACCAACGTGAATTCGGGCTAATTAAAATTTTATATTCAGTCGTAAACTCAACAGACAAGCTCCTTTTCATTCTGCCATTAAACAGTGTCCGGATGGGATTTCAATGAAAACGTACAAAGGAAAAACAGCCGTAAGACAATTTATCCAAATAAACAGGGGACAAAAGATTTTTTTTCCTTGCATTTCACATGTCGAATCCACTCTTAAGCTACCGAAAGAATTATTGCCCCGAAGCACGTAAATTTGTGTGTATTTATTTCATTCGTTTTATTACAATCGAATGCGAATGAGGGAGACGTATAATTGCCATTATCGTTTTTATTTGTTTATTTGTTTCCTTTATTGGAGACCTGAAATTGGAGAAACAGTATTGGGTATTTTTAAACGACGATACCATAAATGTACGCAGTATATGAGAAAATACATAGACAGTTGAAAATAGTTTAAGAAGTACTAATTAAAATAAAGACGAATTGCAACTGCTATTTGTTTTATCTTAGTAATCAATAAAAGCAACAACAAACAACTCGGAAAAAGCTAACCTCGAAAGCTAATTTTACCCATTTTTCCATTCATTCAGTGAATAGTAAAATTCCCAAATGGTGTTGAGCCGAAGCCCTTCGGTATATGGTGTTATAGCACGCCCAAAATTAAATAATAGAAATCCCACCAAGTTAAGATAACTCCAAATTTTTTTTTAAATGAGCTTGGTACGGTGGAGATAAGAAGAAATGATATATATATATATATATATATATATATATATATATATATATATATATATATATATAGCGCGGGCGTTGAAGATGCCAAGTGAGATCTTGGCGAAACATCTGCAGGATTCCAGTCGGAATTCAACAAGCGAACGGATAATATCCTTATATATATATATATATATATATATATATATATATATATATATATATATATATATATATATATATATATATATATATATATATATATATATATATATATATATATATATATATATATATATATATATATATATATATATATATATATATAAGATGTTTCGCCAAGATCTCACTTGGCATCTTCAATGCCCGCGCTATATATATATATATATATATATATATATATATATATATATATATATATACATAGCGCGGGCATTGAAGATGCCAAGTGAGATCTTGGCGAAACATCTTATATATATATATATATATATATATATATATATATATATATATATATATATATATATATATATATATATATATATATATATATATATATATATATATATATATATATATATATATATATATATATATATATATATATATATATATATATATATATATATATATATATATATATATATATATATATATATATATATATATATATATATATATATATATATATATATATATATATATATATATATATATATATATATATATATATATATATATATATATATATATATATATATATATATATATATATATATATATATATATATATATATATATAGTTAATTGGGGTATCGGTCCTGATGAGGGCTCAAATAAAAGGCTTTTGTGCTACACCAAGCTTTCGAAAATGTTTATTTTCTTCTTCAGGGGCTACAATATGAAAGCGGCTCTTAGTTATTTAATTGACGAATTTGGTAAAAGACAACAAGGGTCATGTGATAAAAAATTCAAAACCATCAAAAAAAAGAACATAAACAAATTTCAAAACTTGAAGTCGCAACAGCATCACTTAACAATCAAAACACAAGATAATTGGGTTAAGAATATTTCAGAGGTTGAGGTCCCGGATGATGTCTTGAGGTTTCTCTCTTTAGGTTCGAAATTTTCCGTGCCACCAAGATGCAATGAAATCTCAGTCAAACATTTAATTGCTGATGTAGAAACTATAATTAAAGTTGTACCAGAGAACGCAAAAAATACTGTAAGAGCTAAGTTTACTAATGTATTGACTAATTTTTTAAAACAACCGGCAAAGCGTAGCTATATAGACATTTTGTTAAAAAAGACAAAAAAATTTTTTAAGGATCACGCTGAGTTGGTCGTTTCTAGGGCCGATAAAGGGAATGTGACAGTTATTATGTCTAAAGATACATACATTCAAAAATCAAACGAAATTCTGATGGATCGGACCTATTACGAGCGTCTCAGATGCGATCCTACATCTACTTACCAACAAAAAGCTAACAAACTTGTCAAATCATTAAAAGATCAAAAACAATTAACAAATGAGGTAGCCAAAACTTTAAATATATATAATCAAACTTGTCCTAAATTTTATGGCTTACCCAAAATACATATACAAATACAAATACATAAACCCCGATAATTTCATCAATTAATGCTCCGAACAGTAAACTGGCTTCATTGTTGACTCAGGTTTTAACCAAAGCATATAATAAGAATAATGATTATTTCACAGGTGATTCATTTGAGTTTTCTTCATTTATCAATGACAAACAATTACCTAATAAGTATGTTCTTGTGAGCTTGGATGTCGTCTCTTTATTTAGTAATATTCCATATAATTTGGTAGAAAAAAGTATAAAAAAACATTGGAACAGAATTAGAAACCACACTGATTTGTCACAAATTAGTTTCCTGAAGATACTTCAGTTTGTCTTTGATACAACGTATTTTAGATTTAACAATGAATTTTACAAACAAAAATTAGGTACACCGATGGGTGCCATCATTTCTCCAATATTAGCTCCATACGTTATGGATGACCTACTTGAGGTGTGCGTAGATAAGCTGTCGTTTCAGTTACCATTTCTGAAAAAATATGTGGATGATATAATTACTTCCATACCTGAAAGTTGCGTGAGGGAAACGCTCACAGTGTTTAACAGCTATGATGCACACATACAATTTACAGTAGAGGAGGAAATTGATAAAAGCGTACCATTTCTGGACACCAAAGTGATCCGGAACAACGATAACAAAATTATATTAGATTGGTACATAAAACCGACCAGTTCGGGGAGATATATGAATTTCCACTCTTACCATACAACGAAAACAAAAATAAATTTGGTCATAGCATTAAAGACACGAATCGAGAGGATTTCTCACCCATCACTAAGACAAAAAAATCTTAATAAGCTTTACGACATGCTGATTAACAACTCATACCCAAGTAGGTTAACTAAAAAATTGTTATATAGCACGACCCCACTAAGAGCTCCAAACCCGCGGAACACGGTCGTCCACTCAGATAGTCCAGGAATGGACGATCAGAGATGTTTTTATTTTTCATTGCCATACATTATAGAATTAACGACCACACTCACAAAAATTCTGAGAGCACAAACAAATATTAAGATAGCATATAAACAAACAAAAACATTGGGGAGTGTCTTTAGCAAACTAAAAGATAAGGATGAGGTACAAAAGAATTCAGAAGTAATTTATAGCATCCCCTGTAATCAGTATGATCAGGTATACATAGGACAGACATCGCGAGTACTTAAAGATAGAATTACGTCACACAAGAGTGATTCCAGACTCAATAAGAACACCTGTTCATTAGCAACACACTCTAACCAAATGGATCACGATGTTAACTTTGTTGAAACAAAAATTCTCCATAAAGAAAGCAACTACAACAAAAGAGCAACTTTGGAAATGGTGGAGATTTTCTTGGAACCGAAATCGGTCAATAAAAGATCTGACATTGATGGCCTCAGTGTGATCTACTCTAATGTCTTAACTTTACAACCAACCGTCAATCGAATTGCGTTTGCTGATAATAGTGTCGTCACAATGTAATTATAATTTAGAAAAATAGTCCCAAGCCTCTATACATTAGGGCCTTGTAAGCAAAAAGGAGGTAACAAAAGGAAAAAAAGAAAGGAAAAAAACTGGACGGCTGGCGGTGGTCATACTAATAAAACCTTTCCATCATTTGCGTTTTGCGGATGAAGTAAAATTCGTTTAAATAAAATGTAATAACAATTTCGTCTAGATGGCTGCCCTCGGTTATAATAATTAACGGTCGTATTTGATTCTTTCTGTTATCCGGATGAGTTTGGTGTTGGCCTATAATGGCACTGTAGCAGTAAGTACTTTAACTATAAGACTTTAGTATTAAATAACTAAGAGCCGCTTTCATATTGTAGCCCCTGAAGAAGAAAATAAACATTTTCGAAAGCTTGGTGTAGCACAAAAGCCTTTTATTTGAGCCCTCATCAGGACCGATACCCCAATTAACTAAAATTTGTTGTTCAACTAGCCGGTCACGACTACCGTTTTGTGTATATATATATAGATATATATATATATATATATATATATATATATATATATATATATATATATATATATATATATATATATATATATATATATATATATATATATATATATATATTCATTTCTTCTTATCTCCACCGTACAAAGCTCATTTTAAATAAGGGATATCGGGTATGTTGAATGTGTCGATTTTCTGCAACGTAAGAGGAAAAATCTTCTAATATTAGTCCTTGCTAAGCTCCTCTTCAAAGTTTCATCAACTTTACGGAGCGATCATGCACTCGTGACGAAATTAAGTGTGCTTCACACTACACACGTATATCTTGCGATATACAACATCATTAGGAAGCCCATGGCAGTTTTCTGCATTGTGTATACAACCCTAAATTCAAGCTAATAGCCTAGTTGCTATTTTAATAGATGTCACTATATCTCGGTATTTTCAATTATACTCCCGAAAATTTACGAAGCCCGTTTTAGGCTTCACAAAATTTTGTCCTGCTTCGCAATAGATGTCTTCGTAATTCGCTAAAATTCA